AACCACTTGCAGGGGACTTCTCATGAACACCACAAACAGCTGCTGGACCACTGGGAGCGTTGATCATTGCTCCTGAGAAACCAGCCAGTCTCAAAGCTTTTTACGTTAAGGACTAGCACCACTGCATACCTCCCTCAGACGGAGTGTCAAACAGTTTGCACCCAAAACCTTGCAGCTGACTGAGCAGAGACAAGAGACTCTCACAAACACTAAGCATGACAAAACTCGCATCACAAAGCCAAGCAAAAGCCATTTGATTCAGAGGCTGATATTTAGAACAACCTTATTCTGCTTGAATGTGCTTTTCAAGCATCCAAATTTATAATGGGATAACAGCAGGATGCTCAGAAGTTCAAAATATGACTAAGGAATATGAATGTATTTACTACAGCCAAAAGAAATATTGAGCCCAAACTGTCCTCCAGTTCTGGAAGGAAGACTCCAAAAGGCTCAATTATGACTAGGCAATTACGACTCTGGCAATTCCAGTATCACACATTAAGCACTAAAGGTTATTACCCTTTTATTGGGAGAGAGGGGAGAAAAAGATTATAGATATAGATAGATATAGATAGACAAAAAGATAGAAAGATAGAAAAATAGATACAAAGATAGATAGACAGACAGACAGTTTGAGTGGGAAGCTCTCACACTGTTCAACGTGGTGACACCACCACCATCTCCCCTAAATTAGCAGAAAGTGCTGTTTTAATTAAGAAAACTAAACCTACACCCCCCCCCCCTTGCTTTTGGCTTGAGTAATCAATTATATCCTCAAGACAACTCTGTGCTTCTCCAGGACCTTATGTCCCAAAGGATCCCTAAACCCTTCTCCAAAACTCATCCCATTTGGTTTTGTGTCTGCTGCCTCGACAACTGGACATGAGGAATGAAATGCAAGTCCTGTACAACAGCACTGGTTGGAACGAAGAGCAGTGCTCACAGTAGAACTACAATATATCTTTTTGTGATATATATATATATATATAGTGAGAGGTGCACCACTGGGCATAAAATCGAAATGCCAGTCTTGAGACACTAAAACTGAGCTTATTTGAACAAAACCAGTTCTCACAGGACAATGCCAAGAGCATCCTCTCATCATTGCTCATCGGAAAGCAAATACTCTGAAAATAACATTAGCCAAGGGACTTTCTGGCCGTGTTCTACCAGATGAGACCCACTCTTAGCATAATCGATCAGAAGCTGTTAGTCCTTCATGCTCAGAGCCAGGAACTCAAGCTTTAGTCTGAATCCTTTCTGAACAGGAGCTTAACTCCTTGCAGTTAGAAGTCACTGATGGCTGTCCCCGGCGCTAAGCACTCCCCCCTCTGGGATACCGGATTCAAGAAGAAAGCTGTCTCACAAACAGCCACGCAGGGCTCCCCAGAGCTGTTCCTGCGCACACGCGCTGGTTCTGAGCCCCCTGCCCACGGGGGATGGCCCCGGCCACTGGCAGCCTCCCCCTCCCTCGCCCAGAGGCCCGGCAGCCGCACAGAGCCGCTCACCCCCCCCGCACAGCGCTGTGCGGAGCCCGAGTCTCGCCGGGCCGAGCGGCCCCACGGCTGCAGACGTTCCCCCCGGCCCCGGGCCCACCTCCGCGCACCGCCGCCGCTCCCCGGCCTGCTCCAGCCGCCGCCAGGACTCCCCCGCACGCCCACGGCCACGGCTCCGCCGCTCCAGCGGCCGCCTCCGCGGCTGGGCCCGCCCCTTGGCTCCCGGCATGCGCGGAAAGGTTGGGCCGGGGGAAGCCGGAACCGAGCCGCGGCTGCGGCCCCGCTCCTGCGGGGCTCGGCCCCAGCTCCCCGGGTGAGGAGGGGACCACGGAGCCCAGCGCCCCCCGCAGCCAAACGGGAGCGGTTCCGGAACCCGCGCTTGGAAACGACCCGCACAGCACAACCACGGAACATGGTTTGGGATGAAGGGACCTTAAAGCTCCTCCAGCTCCAACCCCTGCCACGGGCACGGACCCCTTCCACTGGAGCAGCTCGCTCCAAGCCCCTGTGTCCAACCCGGCCTTGAACACTGCCAGGGATGGGGCAGCCAGTAACCAACTGAGAACAGCCACTGACCACGATTCCAGGCTCTCAACACAGTATTTGCTGACCACGACTTCCTGCAATATTCTCAAGAAATCACTGATCCCATACCACCATTTTTAGTGTAACTTAAGAAGGAATCGCTCAAACTTTCCATTGGATAATTAAGTATTATTGGTCTCCTTGTGAATTTTCACAGTAACCACACAGATTAAAGGTCACTACTAACACGCAATTTACTCCAATTTATATCATCATCTCAGTAACCACTATACTTACAGTTGAAGACTTTGTATCGCCACACACAGCACGCATCAGGATAAACAGTTTTCCAATTCATCTTTATTTTGGTTTCCACTGTTTACAGCATTGGCACAGGAATAATTCATGCAAATTTATCACCTTAAATACAGCAGAGAGAAAACTCACTGGTAAGAGTAGTTCAAAGAGCTCCACCAACATAACACATGAGAAAAATGAGTAGCAGCAATAAGATAAAGTGCATTTAGTTGACCTTCCTTAATAAGACTTTGGGGAAGATTTGGTTTGGCATTCCTGTCCTAAGGAATAACTTATCATTCTTTATGACCATCAGAAGAGAACAGGCTCCTTGCTGGTGTTTGTTCCCCCACCACTCTGAGTTAAAGAAGCACAGCTGCATTCTGTTGCACAGGAATCCAGCTCATAGGCCTTTCTGTTAAAAGTCTGATTGTTGATACTCAGGCTTCTAGGGACAAAGGTTCCACACACACTGAAAACATTCCTGCCTGCCATGTTAGCAGCTTTGCTTCTTAAAACTTTCCAGTGCTTCTTTCCCCGTTCTACAGGTTAGGTTTCAGCACAGCAGTGGCAATGCCTACACCACCACAACCTCAACAGTTGTGGGAACACACACACTAGCGAGACCCCAGATTCTAAGAGCCCCTCAATCTCTCTTCCCTTTACAGATCACACACTGGCTTAAAGATCAGCTCATTTATCAGATTTCCCCTAAAGGTCTGATGAAGAGATGCTACCACACGCTTTTAAAAGCAAGCTCAGCATTTCAGGCAGCCTCCAACTGCTGAGCAGTGGTACATCTTCCTCTTCCCCTACCTGGCACTGACAATTTCCTGGTGTATTAGGGATGTGCTTAGTGTTTGAGCTCAACAGCACAGCACACAGCCTGTTAGAGCTGTGTACACGATAGCCTGAGAGACGAGAAATCTGAAGTTATTCACGTAATACCCGGAGCAGAGTAACAGTGGATGATTCCACTTACTCTGGCATACTTCACCGAAAGCCTAGAGAACACAATTCCAGAGGCCAAGGATTCAGGTTTCTTCCTTACTCCCTTTTGGATCTGATCCAAGATGTATTTATGTCCTGGTGGTTGCCTGAAGAAACCAACCAAGGCCAAGGCAGCCCTCTGATGAAAACAGCTTTTCAGTTTGGGTTGGATTCAAAATTGTCTGCTGGAAGTGGAATGTTTGCTTCCTGCATTCCAGAGACAGAACAAGAGTCTCACTGTCAGCTCCTACACGATCAAGATACTTCAGTTCTTACTGCACATCTCAAAACAGCCTGAAGTATTTACTGATGTTCCGCTATTTTTACTCCCTCAAGTACCAGGCAACTGCTTCTTTCTGAACTTCGGTGACATATATGAAACAAGGGACTTGTCACAGGCACATATATGCACACCTGAGCATGAATGAGAAATCCTAAGGCCAGCTGATAACATTTGCAAGTGAAAAGTCTCACTGTCACTAAGAAAAAACCCTCACTGTTAGCAGCTCTCAGCTCACCTGGGACCTCCTCAAGGAGAGCCCATATGCTCTGAAGTTTGACACTGACCAGATTAGGGTTCTCACCAACCTCAGAACTACAGGATCCAATTCTGGATTCCTCAGACATTTTGTGAGGAACCAAAAGGTTATAGCCAACACATGGCAAAATACTGACCCACCAAGTGGAAAAGAAACTTTGCAACAGGAACCTGATCCTGATACAAGTAAAATTAGTGGAAATGCCTCCTTTATCAACTCCAACAGGAAAAGACTCAAGTCCTTACAGTTCCCAAATCTGACATTCCACATTCAAAACTGCTTCAGGGCAAACCTCCATGATTAATTTAAGCTATTTGCAAATAAATAATGTCTTTTAAAAAAATGAGTTGCCATGACCCATTCTTGCCCTGGCACAACATAGAAGGGACAGGTCTTCCCCCGCTCCAGAGAAGCTCCACTGCCAGCTCATTCTCATACTTTTAACAGAAGAGAAACAAAATCAAATCATATTACTGCACGGACTGTCACATCCTATGGGAACTCTGCATGAAGCAAAATCTCTTACAGCTTGTAATCCTTCTGCTGTTCTTGTGGCCAAATTGTGGTAATGGAATTCCAAAGGCCTGCTTCCAGAAACACTGCACAGTCATCAACTCACCTCCTCAGGTAGTTCATACATTCCATCAACTGCGTGGTTTTCCCTATTTCTCCTCCTCAACAAGTTGTCAGATTCCCAGCACTACCCCTTCACAGGACCTAGTTATGTCCTTGCACACTATCTGTCCACAATATGAAATGGGCCAGACTGCATATTAAGTTGTTCTTAACAGGAACAAACTAACTCCAAAGACAATAAGCTTACCAAAGCAAAATCTTAGTCCCTCTGGAAGAGAACTGGTTTTTGTTCATTGGTATAAACATCCTGACAGTAATAAACCTTTCTATGAAGGGACATGGTGATTCTCTGTCATAGTCTATAATAACGGAATATTAACCAAGGAGAGAGGCTTGCATGGGCTATAAATGCATTGTGAAACCATCGTTACACCTCTGTGCAAGGGATCTGGGTTTAGACAAACTGCTAATTGTCACACATACACAAACTCGGGGCTTGGAAATCAAAAGATCTACCTTCATAGAGTAAAATGAAGGAGTCTTTAAAGATGTGTCAGAGTAACTTTTAGCCTGATAAATATTTGGTTTCAACTTCTTACTGTACTTGATTTTGCTTTAAAAAGCCCCTGTGAATGTATGAAGCACACATTCCTTCTGAAGTAGCCTGGTCTCGCAGGAAGGAAAAGAAGAGTTAACAGCTAGTGTTTAGAGGTGGGACACAGAACAGGGAAGCAGACTCCTATCGTTCACACAGCAACTGGAAACAGCAATAGGCTTTTGCCTATTCCCTTCAGGGAATTCCATCACCCACCATGTTCTCTGCAGTAATTAAGAGAGCACTGAAGGGAAACAGCATTGGTTTTCTGTTCTTCCCACACTATCTGCTTTGCTGCAGGTACTGATGTGTGAACATGTTGAGCTCGCTGTCAAGCCAACCCGCTTTATTCCTGCAAGGATAAAAAGTCTCCATGAGGTGAGCAGAACAGCTCAAGCCCATCTGAAAGAAGCTTGAGTCAATAGCCAGGCATGGAGACAAGTGTCAGAGGTACATTCCAAATCACCACTACCATCCCCTCCCTTCCTCAGGTCAGGAACACTTGCCCACTAACAATCCCTGGGCCTTGAGATTCAAACAGAGATCATGGTCACAACTTCACATTGATCTTACCACGTAGATAAGGAATGTTTGGAAAATTCTTTCCAACAATCTTTGCAGGGTGAAGAAAAACATCAAACTGTGTACAAAGGCAAGGGTGAGGCTTTTTGCATAATTTTGTAATAGCCTGAAGGAGTTTGTAGAAGCAGAGGACTGCATTTTGATAAACAGAAAGGCACAGCAACTCCACATCAAAAACAAGAAGGAAAAGAGGATTTGCGAGACACAAGATTTAAATGGCTGTCAACAGTATGTGGCAAAGTACAGAGGTAAAGGGAACACTGTGCAGCAGGGAAAGATGCTGATGCCTGCACATCAAACACTATGATGGAAAGACTGCACTCAGATACACCCTAATCTGAACATCTTAGGGCAAGCCCATGAAAAACAACTGTATGCAAACAGCTGTGCATAGGGGATAATAAAATCTCACCTGAGCAGTTTTGCTTTGCTCTGCAGTGAATCCAGAACTTCGATTTTTTTATTCAAGGCAGAAATTTCCTGCTCAAGATTCTCTCGTGTGACATCCACTTGCTGACACAAATGAGCAAATGTTCCAGCCAGCTCTCTAGGATACAAGAAAAGTTGGATAAAATGAGAAGTAAATCAAGCAGCAAATTCAAGGAGTAAATCCCTTTGACATACACTGATTGATGATACAAACTCAGATATTCATTTCTCCATTTCTGCACAAGAATATGTCAGAGCACCAGAGCAACTTGAGAGGCAGAAGCACATTAAGACTAATGATCAGTAGCACCCAAATACTACATCAGTGATTCAAATTTTCTTTTAAAACAAATGTTTTTAAATCTGGAATTTAAAATGCAGATTTATCTTATTTTAACAAGGAGTAACACTGAAAAAAGAAAACCAACCCAACAGTCAAACAACAGAACTAGTTAAGGTTTTAGCTGAATATAGGAAACTCACTGTTGGACTTGGTGGCTGCAATTAGAACCTGTGTAACTGACGATGAGCTGCAATTTCTCACCAGCATACTCTACAAACTGTCTCTTGAAAGCTCTCTCCTTCGCTTTCGTGGTCCAGGTGAGGCGCTCATATACATAAAGGAGCCCATAAAGGCCTAAAGAGAGAGCAATCAATCTCCAACCCACAGCCTTCCAGACCTAAAAAAAGCACAAGAAAAACCAGATGACATGATCATCCAGGAACGATACTGAGTCCTAACAGTGGTGCCCAGAGTCTTGCACTTGTCTTCTAGGCACATGAAAACAAGGCAGATAAATAACCCTGACTTGCAAGAGCTTCCATTGGTCCAACAGCAGTCTGCACATTGGTCAGATGGGCAGTTTACAAAAGAAACCTACCTAACGTAAACTACTGGGGCTCTGTATGGGTTATTCCTTCCAGCACATTTAAATTACATCTGCAAGTGCAAACGAACTTTGTCTGGCTCACAGAATCCCTGTTTTGGAAGTAAAAAAGACATTTTTAAGTGACCATCTCCCCTTTGAGAAATCATCTGCCCCTAGACACTGTGACTCTGGCACTAATGAAACTTAAGATACTTCCTGCAAGAGGACCTAGAGTTACCACTTAAGTTATACCCGTTCTGTCTCCATAGTCTGGGGAAATTTAAGGTTCAAAACATCCATTATTTTCAAAGGACAAAAAAGCAGGAAGTGCCGATTTGCTCTGAAATAAATTAGACATAGGATTTAAAATTAAGTGCTCTCCTCCCCTTCTGGGAAGATAAACATGATCAGAGGCTCTTGTTAAGATATTTCTGTTCTAATTCCTCTGTAAATGGGAAAAGAAAAATACTCATTTTTCTTTTATTCTTACAAAAGAATCAGAGACTAATGCTTTTGTAATGTACTAGAAAGGGTTACCTTCACAAGAAGCCTGGCTCCAAGCCTAACTATCATGCAGAATAAGCTCAATATCTGTACTCAAATGGAAGACATCAAAGGGGAATGGATTTCACTATCTGTGATTTGCAAATATCTACAGGATTCAGCAGTGCAAGAACTTTTATAGTCAGTGCTCTCACTGTATTTATATAAATACTGCTCAGATTGCCAACGCACCACACCACCAACCACGATGATCCCCATGGAAGTTCTGGAAGTCAATGAGGCCAGTCCAGTCACCATCGACACCATGAGCTCTTCCTGGGTCATAGAGCCCTGAGGCAAAGGAGGCAGACTGGGATTTGCTGGTGTCAAAGGGCGTTGAACCTAATTAGACAAGCAGTGACAAAACAAAGTATAGAATAAGAGAAGGAAACCACTGCCCTTCCCACTAGACTTCAGCAGCCACTGACATGATATTGTATCTATCTCAACCACACAATGAGGTATCTTACCTGGTCATTATAGCCCATCAAGGCCCGACGACCATTCTTTGGTCCCAAAAACCTGTTCACCAGCATCGTCCATCCAAGAGAGAAATGGAATTCTATGTCCTCTTGGAAGTCGGCACAAAGCTTGTCACAGTTCAGATCATAGCTGAGCATGAAGCACTGCCGGGGAATTAACATGTCTATCTGGCCCCGCAAAGAGACTGGGAGAAGGGGTTTTAAACCATCTGCACAGACAGAAAACAAACACATTCAAAAACCAGCTACTGAGTTCTCAGGAATTAACTGGACTTGTATTCTGTAATCAGGGTGGTTATGGGTTGTTCCATCCTGCACAGCTCTTTTTATTAGTACCTTACACTTCCTAAAGCCAAGCACATTGCAAAGCACAAGATACATCATGAATTACTCTAAGATTCTTATTTCTTCAGATCAACTCAGAAGGAGATCTTCCCACAGATCCTCTTAAATCCTTAGAGGTAGCTGGTGAAGTTTACAGTTTAGCAGTAGCTTGGAAAAAAGAACCTAATGGCCAGTTCTAAAAATGAGTAAGCACCATACTACTATTAAAGCTTATATTCAGAGACCTAGTTAAAAGTCATTCACATTTCATTAGGATCTTGGCTGAAAAATCTCTCAAGCTTCCAAAGTCACAGTTCCTCTCTGCTATGAGGATTAAGCTGGTTGTATATACCCATTAGCAAATCACTGCACAAGTTCAGACGAGTGGAAAAAGCAGGAGTAATTAGTCCTCTCATAACAGCACTACTAATCAAGACGGAAACTAAGACGATGCTATCATCAACTAAGTCATCAGCCACCAGATTAAAGAGAAACCCAGAACATCTACCTACTTATTTTGCACTACAGTTAAAGGAAAAAGCAAGGGCAATGTTGCCTGCTGTACTGACCTATCATTTCTTGCTGCATTGTCTGCAGGGAGGCAGAGATTGCATTGGAGCAACGATCTGACATGTTACGGCCCAGGCCTTCCTCAATGTGTTTATGTAGCTCCTGACAAAGAAAGGAAGAGCTGTTAAGCTTAAAATAACCATAGGTAAGATGCAGGCTGCAACTGCTAGAACTTCCCAGTTGAAAAAACCCTCCCAGAACAGGAGTACACATTCTGTCTGCCCACTATTCTAATGTTAGTTTCATTTTTATCCCCATTCCTCAGTGAAAGAGAGGAAAAATTAAATCAAAAATGTCACACGTACTCTAGTCTAGGGAAAGTTCTGTTTGATCTATGCAATGTGATACATCACATGTAACAATTTATCACTGGGGTTATGAAAAAATGCAATCTATTTCTTCATTTTTTAATGGTTTGGTGGTGTTTTTTTTTTTAAAGATGTTCATTTTTTTGTAGAAGCTGTCCAAACACATGGGACATTCCAACAAAAGACTGTGCACAATACGAAGAGCTTAACGTGTATCCTGTTTGGAAGAATGTTAAGCATCTCAATGATCTGGCACAATTAATGACTCAGAGAAAAAAAAAAAAGACCTCTTTGAATTGTTTCAGGAACCTGTGGGAAGCAAACATCAATTATACAACCACAGAATGGTTTGGGTTGGAAAGGACCTTAAAATCATCTAGTGCCACCCCCCTTGCATGGGCAGGGACACCTCATCCTAGACCATGTCACCCAGGGCTCTGTCCAGCCTGGCCTTGAACCTGGCTCCATCCCTGGCCAGAGGCAGAGCATTTACCAATATCTTTTGGCAGCCTGTTACACCTACTTACACTTTTGTAAACTTTAAGAACTACTTGAGATGGATGGAAGTCTGCTTGGTATTCATCTACTAGCACTGAGAGCCGTCTGATTTCTTCTGCCATTGCATTTGACACCTAGAGAAATAGCACAAAACAGTTTCTATATGGCCTAGGACAGACACAAAACCAACACTGAAGACACGCATCTCTTAGTAAAGAACTGCTGAGCACTGGGCACAACTGTGCCACGCATTGTGTGCCAACTGCAATATTGGTGACTTGCAAACAAAGATGCCTGAGAAGTATGTAGACTTAAGTCTTCTGTAACAATGCAAAGACTGAGGCAGTGCAAGACTGAGAAATTAACAGGCCTTTTCTGAATACTCGTAATAGTGAAAGTAACACGTTACTACCAACAGAAAGACTGCCATTATTCTAGACTGAAATACAGAAATATGCCTGAAATATTTTAGTACCTTAGGAAGCATTTAAGGCTGAAATATCATAGCAGAAACAATCCCAACATTAATCAAAGTCTCACTGTTTATTTAAAGCATCTTATACAAGTCTCTCTGAAAGTTTCCCCCAAGTATTTTCATTTTAGTACCTCAAGAAAAACAAACCAAACTCATCTTCTGAAAGCATTCCTTCCCTTCTAACTCTCACATTTCTAGTACCATAAAGCATTGTCAGCACTTTGCATTTTTCCCACCATGTTGTAGCTGCTTCAGACAGTGGTTTTCTGCAGCCACTCCTCCTTACCTGCCTCTCCACTTCTTCTGTGATTTGTTTTATTTTCCGCTTGTAGTCTTGAGTAAGAAGCTCCAGCTGTTTGTCAATAAAACCTAAACGCTCCTGTCGCTCCTCTCGCATTTCCAGACAGTAAACTCTGAGGGGAAAAAAGGGAAAAGTGCCCATCAGAAGTCAGATAAATGCATTTTTGATCTACAGCTATCATTTGAATTCAAGAAACAAGAGAAATTCTCCTGTGCAAGAGCAAACTGTGTCAGTATCTACAATACATTACATACACATGGCACAGGATAAAAAAAGAGGCTCTTTTCCCAATACTTTCTAGTTCACCAGAAGCAAGACTACTGGTACACGTTCTTCCACTCCCAAACATGCAGTATTCTGCTTTATATATTAAATCCTCATATTCCTTTAAATTACTCCCAGAACACAAGCTTCTGTTATGCAAGCACCAAGCCCCAGCTCTCCTCACCGCTGTTCCTGGGCAGCAATATGCACAGAATCCATGATGAGACGAACATCTTCTGCAATCTGCTTTGCTCTCACCGTGTGCTGCTCAAACTTTGTTTTTACTGCTGACTGTGAGATGCATTCCTGCACACAAAAAGCAGCCCAAGATTAGCCACAGGCAGAAGCACAGTAACAGTACTTCTCCTCCCATACAATCCATTTCCGATACATGGACCCAATCAATGTTTACAAACTCTTGTCCCCAGCCCTTCAGGAGCAAAACCTAAACAGAAGGTTGGTACACATAATGCTCACCTCAAATCTTCTCTCGAAGTTCTGAAACTCAAACATTCTTACTTGAAATCCATCTGCCAATGCTCCACCTGAGAGAAAGTGCAAAACAACCACTTAAGTTTTTAGAAAGCAACCAGACGTTGGACATCAGGAAATGCTCCTGCTTTACCTTGAAGCCAATGCAAAAGTGCTGCTAAGCCACCTCTTCGGTTTTGACTGCTCTATTAATAATCTGACTCACCCTACTTTTTTTCTTTTTTTCAGACAAGATACAGAATCATAGAATGATTTGGGTTGGAAAGGACCTTAAGATAACCTAGTTCCAAAACCCCTGCCATGGGCAGGGATGCCTCACACTAGACCACGTCACCCAAGGCCCTGTCCAACCTGGCCTTGAACACTGCTAGGAATGGAGCATTTACCACTTCTCTGGGCAACCTAAGGGTGTCTCACCATCCTCACAGTAAAGAATTTCTTCCTTATACCTAACCTGAACTTCCCCCTGTTTAAGTTTGAATCCATAACCCCTTGTCCTATCCCTACAGTCCTTGATGAAGAGTCCTTCTCCAGCACTCTTGTAGGCCCCCTTCAGATATTGGAAGGCTGCTATTCTCCATTTTCTTCCCCGTAAGAAAATGGAAGGTTTCTGTTAGCTTTCCTTACCTCCTTCTGGCATCCCTTGAGCCTTCTGAATCCTAGCATTGAGCACTTCTTTTGCTGACACAAAGAAAATGCGATCCCCTGCCTGGGCTCGATCCACTACACCCAGCTCATCCACCAGGAAACTGGTGCACCTCTCCATGTGCTGCCGACGCACCTGAGGGACAAGCAGGATAAATCCCACGTGCAGTTAAATCCACTTTACATTCCAGCTCTTCAAGGTTACATCAGGCATCCTAATGCCCTCTGCTGGTCTAAGCTACCAATACAAAAGAACAAGGAATATCTTTGCTGCTTGATGGAATCTTCCAGAGGTTATCAAAGTGATCTCACTTCAAAAGGCCCCTGTGAAACTCTTGATTTCCAGCTCTGAATTTAAGAGTCCTGATCCCTAGTCTATACTCCCTCTAGCTGCCACATAAAGGTAATAAAAATACAAACTGTAAAACACATATAACACTATAATTCTACCCGCAAGGACCAGAGTCAAAAACAGACTCCATGCAAACAGGAACAATTTAAATACATCACAAACCTCTTCCATGTATTCTGGTTCAGAGGCAGATGCATCCCAGCGGTTATTTAAAATAAATATATTGGGTCGAGACAGACGTTCATTCACCTTGTGAAAGAACTGTTTCTCCTAAGCAAAATGGAAAAAAACCTCTTCAGATTAATATGTCAATTTTTTTTCTTAACTTTTAGCCAAATTCACTGAACAAGTGGACTTGCACATACAGTTTGCATCAATGTTGATTCAGAATTTGCCACCAGGACAAATACGTCAGCATCCAGACAGAATTTGTCAATCCAACTGTCCAGCTCTGTGGTTACATCAATGCCAGGGCTAGCAATAAAAAGAGAAGAGACATTATTAAGCTGTGGAACAGCAAAAATAGAATTAAAAGGGTTAAGAGATGTGTTTTAGCTTTTGAGGGCATTAATTTCCCATGTCTGCGCTACACTGTGCTGAGGTCACAAAGAGTAAAGGCTAAAAGGCAGTACCAATCAAGAGAAACTCTGACTGCTAATTACAGGCAAGTAACTTTAATCCCCATCACAGACTAGGACAGGGTTGATTTCCTTGATGTTTGTTAAATTAGTATTTGAAGACATTCTTGTAATTAATATGTGATAAGCAGGAAAGGAAAGAAAGATATTTCTCACCTGTCCATCAGCACCAAGTCATCCTTTAAGAGAGGACATTTGGAATTGGGCCACATTACGCTGACTAGGCTGCCAGCATTCAGAAGTTCATCTTGATGAAGGGCATGAGCCAGCTGGTTTACTGTCTATTAAAAAGACAGATCATTTATAACATTTCCTGCATGCTAAGACCCATTAACACAGTTACCTCCCCTTCAGGGCTCTTCACAGACTATTTAAGATAAAACCCAACTCCAAATTGCTTTCTCCCTGGGAGGTTTTCCACATAAAACTCACTTGAGTTTCCTTGTCAAAAGGCATCTGCCTAGTGAGAGTTTACTGTCAGGAAAGGCTACTGAGGGATTACCACGAAGTCTTGTGCTCTCTGCCAGTCATACAGAGCTCAGAACTTCCCAAGTCACCGTCCCAGTTCCCTGCTATCACTTACAAATACAACTGATCATCTTTTTCACAAAATGAAAACATTTTACCCTGTAGCTTGCTCCATTGCTCCCTTCCTGCATCTAACAAAAACCTGTTCTTCATCTCTACTCCTTTAATGATAAACAACTTAACTTTGAAGCTTACTCATAAGCTTTAATTTTTTGTGCTCCTTCCTTTTTCTGGCACTTCTGAGGAGCTCTTCTCCCTTCTCTTATGCTTAAGGAAATCATACCTTAACACTTTTCTTTTCCTCTGAGCCTTCAGTAAGCAGGAAAGCTTCATGTCCATCTGTCCCCTCTACACGCAGGAAACAATTAGTGGTGTGTCCAATTCCTGAAGGAAGGACTTTGTCCCATAGCATGGCATTTATCACAGTGCTTTTCCCATTGCTTGTCCTGAAGTCAGATTAAAGAACAGCGGAGCTAGGCTTCTGAGACCTGGGTATACTCATTTTGATGTTACAGAAAGTTCCCTAAACCCAAGTAGTACCACAAGCATTAATAATTTTGGTGCCAGAGGCAGCTTACAAAAAGATTTTATTATTTTCTTATTTGAAGCATACTTTCAAGTTGAAGAATTACATGCTGCAATATTTGTTCCCAATTTACAAGAGGATCAGAACCAGGGGCATGCCCATTACAAGCAAAAGCTGGAGGAGTGTTTCTATAAATACTTTTTCCTGGTTACAGTCCTAAAGATGGCAGCTGCTTTACTGAGTGGGGAGTGTAGGCAGCAAGCACGTGACTCACCTGCCAAAAAAAGCAACTTTCATGTGTCGCCTCGCCAACACTTCACTAATGCCATTCACTTTCGACAGGTAGCCTTTGACTTCCAGTACCTGCTCTTCTGTGGTGACAGGATCAAGCTCTACATTCTTGTGTGTGTCTAAAACCAAAATACATCACATCTCCGAATTGCAGAAGTCATCCGTCTCACTACTCCTCATGATGTAACACACATAACTAGATGCTTATCTGTGTCCCCAAGACTGTGTGGGCAATCTTGACACATGCAATTACACCCTGGGGCAATTTTGCATCAGTTTTTATCAGCTGGTCTCTTTTGGGTAGCTAATAACCATTCTCAGCCTTAGGACTGCCTTGAACAGTACACAGGCAACACTTCAAATACTCCAACACGCTTAAATTTAGCTGCTAAAGCCAATTATTGGCGTATGCCACATGTCACTTGTAACGTGTCTAGGTAAGAACTGAAAGAAACAGGCAAAAAAAATGAAGGGTCTCATACAGCTTAAACTCCTACACCACATAAAGAACAAGCATAGCTCACTAACTAGCTGCTTCCTTACATGCATGAACTTGTCAGCTTGAAAATATGAACCCCAAACTCCACCCAAACTCAGTAAAATAATCTTATTACAAATACTGATATATAAATAGCATGAGTGTACAAATAAGCACAGGTCTAGCCGTGTCATTTACCTGAATGAAGGGGTTTTGCTGTGTGAGTGAAGCACTGTTACACACCTGCAGTTCAAGAACCCATCTTACCTTCCAGGAACGAGGAGCTCTCACTGATGTATGCAGCCAGTTGTTCAAAGATACCATTGATTTTCTTCTTTGCAGTGACAAAATGTTTAAGTGGAGAAGCATTTACTTCAGCCATGTGTCTTTTATCCTTCTTCACTGCAACTATTGACTTGGAACGAGTAAACAGCAGGGACATCGCGCTACAGGGGAAAATGCAGTAAATAAAGGTGGCTCCCCAAGTGAGCTATCCAACTAAGCATCCTACCAAGAATTTGCTAAATACACGCTTTAAAACCAGCCTTCTTTCTTACACAACGAAATTGTTCCGTTTTCTACACTTAGATATTACTCATGTATAAGAAATTAAAAGAAGAAAAAAGCATTTTTCCTCCTCCTTCCCAATGAACAGGCCCCTGGTGATCACTGCTCCCCTTCCTCTGCTTACTTTGAGTTTCGTTTTCACCAGACAGGCATGGTCAGCTCGAGTTCCTCTTGAACATGAACGTCTGCAGGCCGTTTACCTGCCCTCTCCCTCGCCCTGGCCGAACTCCGTCCCGCAGCTCTTCCAGCGACGCCGAGTCCAGCCTGTTCCCCTCCCTGCGGCAAAGGCACACGGCGGATGAAGGCCACAGGCTGCCGAGCGCCGTGCTGGGCCAGGCTGTGCTCTCCCGCTACCCCAGTGAGCAGGGGCTGCGCTAGGCTGATGCTCCGGGCGGCCGCCATCGCCTTCTCCTCACGCCTCAGGGGGCTGGCGCGCACGACCAAAGGGCGGGAACCGGCCCCTCTCCCGCTCCCACCACGGAGGGGCGGCAAGGCCATGCCCCGGCGGGTCCCCCGCTCCCCTTCCCTCCCTTTCCCTGTCCCTGCCGCCCGGAAGAGCCCTACAGCGGCTCCCACCTCCCCTCCGCCGCCTGGCACCGCCCCACCTCTCACCTTCAGCGCCGCTCCCGCACCGCCGCCATGACACCCCGCGGCACCGTCACCACCCCGGCGCTGAGGAGGGGATACGTCATCAGCGCGCGACGGGCGGGCCCTCTCGCAGGGCACCATGGGAGCGGTAGTTCCGAGGGCCTCAACCCCCAGCCAGGCCTCATCCATGCTGGTGCGGAGTTAACGCGGGTTCCCCGGGCCGGCACCGCGCAGCCGAGGGACACCCGGCTCTGCAACCCCCCCACGGCGGCACGGGCGGAGGAAAGACACAACAAGGCACGTGAAAAAAAACCAATCCTGCTGAATAAATACATACACCTTTTCGACACCGTGTCGCGTCCCTTCCCGTGGTAACAGAGAGCTCCGGATGCCGCCTAACACCATTTATTACTGGTTTACTTTTCAAACCCATTGCCCCTGCCTGGGTTTTCCTCCCGTGGGGGTGCAGCCTTGAGTCAGACCCAAAAAGCACATGGAAAGCAGCAGGAAAAGAGCAATGTCATCTTCCTTAAAGGTTGGACTTGATGATCTTAACAAGGCCTTTCCCACCCTGGTTGATCCCTCAAGTCCACTCCAATTCTATACAGTTCCCTGCCACAACATACATGTCTAAAGCTGCTCTGCCTACTTTAATATGACCCATCCTAGCTAAAAGGGCTCCTTTATCTACAGTTAGACAGAAGATGGAGCCACAGAGAACTAAGAGAAAATTGGGGTTCTCTTCCTAAGGACAGTTGTGGTGTGAATTTACTGCTTGTGAAACATCCTGACTGGTCTGGCAGCCCCAGAGCATAACAGTGTGTGGTGAGTAAAGGTATCTTACAGACAACAGCAGAAAAGGTTTTTCCCCTTTCCTCTCTAACCATAGGTCTAGTCCAGACAGATCTATACATCTACCACAAGCTCTCAGCACCTTCCAGCCATTTCTATCACATTCAACCCCACTGGACAAGAGGCTGCAGTGGAGTAGTTGGTTTGCAATCTCAAATAATTGATAATGACTCCCTCATGTACCATAGAACAGCTCTTTGATGGCCCATTCAAATTCGATGCAAAGAAAATTATCAAAACTATCTCTGAGAACTGGAACAAGGCCACCAAAGAGCACTGGGTTGTTATCCAGGCATTGATGAGAGCTTCTGACAATCTTAACATGGGATAGAACAGATACCATTCAGCACTAAAGCCCTCCTCACTGATCCAGTCATTTTCAGCCTTCCCTTCCTCAGACTTTATCTACACATACCAACAGGGACTGATTCTGTCTGGGCACAGATGCTCCTTTCAGCTGCTGTAATACAAGATAGGGAGGCAACTTTTTATCTCTTTAGTCTAATCCCAGAGGTAAAGCATCATTAGTGGACCTTCCTTTAGCTAACCAGAAGCACCTGTACTGCCACTGCTACTGCTTTGGACTTTGTGATAATGCTTCCAAGGACTGCAGAGGTAAAGAATCAGATGATCTTCAGGCTCTTACTACCAAGTTTCATCTGGTGTGACATTTAACTGCTATGACTCCTGGAGTCTGCTCCCTGATTGGCTTATATTTGGAATAGTATCCAGAAATTACTGTCTAATGTCCAGTCCTGCATATGTGGATACATGGATGAAAATGAGCTTCCAGCTATGTAGAAAAAGAGCTCGTGACTTGCTTCCAAGAACCTGGATTTCGCGTCCAAGAGAGCATTTTTGTAAAGCCAACCAATCACTGAAGGTTCAAGTAAACCGCACTTCCAAGAGCGAGCAGATGAGGAGCACAATCAAAAATGAAGGCACAATATCTCCTTCCAAATTCTACAGCAATATTCCTAGGTATCACCTGCAGGATCAGAGAGGGAGATCTTCCAGTAGTGGAGTCTTAAAATATCATTAAAAATCAATATCCAAATAGCTTTGATCAATGCCTTAGAAACTCTCAGCAGCATTCCCTGATTCCACTCAAGTCAGCAGTGAGCAGGGCCAGGGAAAGGTCCTTCCTGTGAAGCATGGCTCTAGGGGTCAAGAAAGGACACTGCAATATAACGGGTTCCTTTGGTGGTTGGAAGACCTTCATGGTAGTGGGTCAGGCGTCCTGGATGCATAAGGGTCCATCCTTTTCGTGGAGCTCGAATGGAGCAATTGTAGCGCAGGAACCGGCAGCCTCCTCCCTGATGGAAACACAAGAGACACATCAGCTTGGTACATCAGCACCTCAGGGAAAAGAGTCTCTGCCTCCTTCTTGGAAACCTTCAGAAAATATGAGAAGGTACTTGGAGAATCTTCTGTGTTCTGATGCATTCAAGAATATTTTTACCCTAGACAGTTATTCCTTGACATCCTTAGTGTGAAGAAGCCAGATGTGGGTAAGAAAAGGGTTTCCAGCTGCCTGGACCGCTCCAGAAGCTGTACTGCATTCCTGACACACTGGCACACACTTACCTCATAGTCTATCCCAACTTTGTTCAAAGCAATGTTAATGGTAAAGGTGGAAGCATCATGGTGGGGCACTAAAGAGGGCTGCTCATCAGGTTTGTAGCGAACGACAAAGGCCAGCTCAAACTGAGTCTGTGGTAGAGAAGAACAAAGTGCACATCAGTTACAGGGCTATGATAGTCCATGGCTATTGAGTTGCAGAGTAGGGTGTGATAAAGTGCATCCTGCTGCTAGGAGAGAAAGGTAACAATAAGGCAGGAGAACGTCATTAGAAATCATGTATTTCCGATGCATCTACTTACATCATACTCAGGGTCAACTGGGAAATCATATGCATACTGCAAGAAGATTCCAGCAGTCTTTTCCAAGCTGCAACTAGAGGAAGTGCTGATCTGAGCATGAGTTTTGATGCTAAGGCACACATACCTTGGTATAGTATCCTGGGTACAGTTTCTCTGTGATGGGTGCAATATAGTCCAGAAGAAACTTATACCATTCTCTTTCAAAGCCAATCTGGTTCATGTGTATGTCAATAGTTGGGACGTTCTCATATCCTCCTTGTATTCTGCTGTCCTAAAACAGAATCATGAAAATACCCATAAGGATGGGAACCTTGGACTTCAGGAGTGAAGAGCACTTGTTTCTGGTAACTATGAGTAAGAAAGATTTTTACTGATCCGAAATTTCAGGACTGACAACTCATTTCAAGTAATAATTACAACCTAAGGTAAAAAAACTACCATCAGAAGGGCTGAACACTGTAACTTCAGAGGATGCTAAAGAGGGGTCCAGAAAATTCATTCACATTTAAGAACAGGGGCAAAATCATAGAGCCAAATCAGGAACAAAACTGTTTTGCCTCCAGTTTCCTGGTTTAACTGAGAGATCTAAGAGCCTCCTACAGGAGGCACCGCTGCCATCCAATACACATGAACGATGGTGTGACCCAGATATCAAAAAGCTCCTGCTTCTTCTTACCGTGTTATCACCTGTGGACCACTGGCCATAATGTTCCATTTCTTCCACCAGCTCATCACAGGCAATGTCAGTGAATATGGGGAACCAGTAAACATCTGGGCAGGGCTGCAGAAAGTAGACAGGTGAGAATAGCAGAAACGAGGACATGTGCTTGAGGCAAAAGGAGTAAAACTAAACTGATTACAGGCTGAGTTAGTTTAAGTGGAAAGTAACTGAAATATTGAGGATAGACATTTGTCTTCTGACATATGTGCTCCACTTCCACTTAAGAGAGCTGGAGATGTACTTCTAGAAGAATGATTTGGCTCTAAAAATACTTTCAAGGTCACGATTCCTCTGGATTTGAAAGACTATGAGGTTGTGCTGAACTGCTTATTCCTAAGTGTGACAGTAGTGACGACTGTCATTCTCAGGAATGTCTTCAGCATTGTCCTGATGCTAATCTCCCATTCTGATGGATAAGAGTGATGTTTTCTTACCATTTCTACCAATTTCCCTTTCAGAGCTGCTGTGTAGTTTTCATGGATGTACTTTTCCCTCCAGTCCTGCAGTTAAAAGATAAGCAAACCAGTCATTTCTGTGGGGCCTGGTTAAAGAGGCAGTGAAAGGCCAGGCACTCATGCAGCAGTTATTTCACAGGCTTTGAAAATCCACGTTATGAATCACACAAACACCCTCTCTTTAACTTCTATAACTATTCTTCTCATCCCACCTGAGAGACATTGTTATACAAAGCCTGGACCTTCCGTATTGGTGAAGCTGGTCATGGAATCTTCACGTCACATTGCTAAGCCATGCTAAGCTGAGCATGCAGGTTCTCTCACCTCAGGATTGCTGAATATTTGCCAGAGGTCATTGTGGAGGTGAGTTGTCTGATAATTCTCCAGGGACAATATGTGCCCAAACTGATGCCGATTTGTCAGGTACATGAAGACTCCCTGCAGGATAAAGGGAAAGAATCAAGACCTCACATTTCTGTGAGCCACTGTGAAATATAAGCACTGGACAGTTCTCAAATGCTGACGGCTCTGCCCAAGCAGTTCATTTAGCCATTCTTTCTCCTATGAGCCTTCAGTTTAATCTTCACCCTCAATATGAGGAACTTTGAAAGGTTATAGGCAGTACTTCTGTACCTCTTGTCAGCCAGGCTTGGAAGCAGAGCAGAGCAGCTGCTGTGAGATTAGGTTCTTCCTTTTACCCTGTCAAACCCATTTAGAACAGTCCTCAACAAGCCCAAGAACAAACCTGTTATCCACATTTAGTGGTCCCTGGCTCTGTGTAGTTTCACAGCAAGCCAGAAATCCCACACTGTTCCAAGCCGGAAGAGTATTGAATAATGCCAGTTCACCCCGTCCCATGCCCCACAGAGCTGAATTCCTTGAAACGACTTAATCCTGTCACCTCCACTCTGGCATGCAGTTCTCTCCTGGCAGCCTCTCTCTCCTCAACTGACCTGATTCCGAACGTTGTGGCAGAAAGCCATATCAGTATCCAGCTTGCCACTATGGAAGAGATCTCCCTGGTCAAGCTCCGATCGCAGAACCTTGGCTTTAACCAAGTAAACGCTGCTGATGTAGGGAACGTTCCAAAGCCCACTGAAACACATGGATAGAAGGGCAAGACTTGAAATACCACTAAGACAAGCTGCTGGACTGGACAAGATGGCAGGCAGCACTGCA